CTGTATAAAAGAGAATAACAAATAATTGATCATATCCATACCTGTTCCATTTTTGGCTTAGGACGTACTGACCGGAGTTTGACTCCTTGCGTCGCTGAGGAATGAAAGAAGAAACGTTCACGAATTTTTTTTTTCGTTATGAAAAAAAAGAAAAGAAATTGAGTAATCTCAAATTATTACGTATACGAATAATCTCGATATCTCTACTCTTCAAATGGTAACAAAAGCAACCAAATCCTACAGAAACACCACAAAATAAGATTCCGTTGAAGAAAGCTCTCATTGTTGCTCTTGATCCTGTCAACTCTGCAAATCGAAATAAAATTCACAAATCCGGATTTCATAGATCAGAGAATGCGAAACAAATTAATTGTTATTACCATTGTTGATAGTCAGTGATGAGAAATCTCGAAATTGGCGATTCCCAATCGATCTCACTCCTCGATGACACTATAAAACAAATATTCATTTCACAAATCGATCGCACGAAAACAAAAATCAATAATCAGATTGTCGACGTTGTACCTGCGCAACGACGGATCTCAGATTCTGCATGATCGGAAATTTAGGTGGTTTGTTTTGTTTTTCAGAGTGTGAATTCTTCATTAAAAAAGATGAAAATATGGGCCTGAAAAATTTATTATGGGCCTTAACACAAATTATCTCCGGTTTATTTTCATACACCAAAGAATCTCCGGTTTATTTGAAAACCGGTATAAATTCGGTTTAGATACAAAAACCGAGCTCCTTAAAGCTCTTGAAGTGACTAAAGGAGGAGTCGATTTTTATCATTATTCTTGTTTCTTCTTCACGTTTGTTTGTTTGTTTCCTTATCCATTAAATTCCTCTTTTATTGGTCAAAAGTTGGTATTCATTTCATTAAACCGAAATATTTCCGGTTTGTACCGGTACAACATTTCCTTCTGTCTTGTTCTTCTTATTTCCGGTTCTTTTGCTAAACTTCTTTTGGCTATTTCATTCATTTATTTAAATAAGAAGAAGAAACAAGGAAATGGGAAAGTGGGGGAGTTCGATCCTAACATAAGGATCATGACCACCTTATTCTCCTCTACTTATTACAACTGAAACAAATTATTTAAAAGCAAACCAATGTGAATTGATTATTTGCGGTTTATGATTTTGATTCGGTTTGATGTCCTCCGGTTTGGATCTCCAACAGAGTTTTGGCTTTTGAGGGTAAAAGACTAGATTTTGGATCATCAAAATACACCGGAGTATATTTACTCCTTCCGAAATAACTAATATATACAGAAAACGCCACATTTTTTCCCTGTTTGGCTGCCATCTCTGAAACACACAAAGAAAATGAAGATGAGATAAATAATAATTAATAAGCAAATATGATTTACATGTACACTTGTTTCTTTTGCGTTTTTTACCTTCATAAACTTCCATCTCATACGCCATTTTCCCTAAATCCAAAAATTTGCACGACGCTAAAATACCTTTAAAACAAAAAACATATCACAAATTAAAGCTGATTAATTCGTCGACAAATCAAAAATAAACACAAGAGCAAAAAAATCTCTCTTTCTGTACATACAAAAGCCACCGTATAACAAGTCGTCAACTTTCAATCTTTCTCCATTTG